AAAAACACACACACAGGCAGCATTAAAAAGCTCCCGGCCGATCTCCACTTACCTTGGTGTTGTCGGCGGGCAGCGGCGTTGATCATGTCGGCGGGCAGCGGCGAATCGGGCAGCTCACCGGGATGAGAGGGCCAGACACATGTCCTCAGCGTGGCGTAAGCGGCGTCGCGTGAGCGGGTATACCGGCGTAGGCGTGAGCGGCTTAAACGACGTGGGCGGGGCGTAAGTGGCGTAAACGGCGGGCGTAAGCGGCGTGCAGCGGCGAGCGGGAAATCGACTTAATCGAATAACTGTTGCAGCTCTAGTCCACTTTAGGTTTAACCATGTGACACTCTGAACCCGATATTTCTTTTTAGGGGACTTGTTCTGAAATTGAATGAAAATGAAGTTACTATTTTACCCGGGGACTTTGTTCTGATTGAAGGTGACGATGAAGAGAGACCTTTTGTGGCAATGTTAAAAGAACTCTACGACGACGGTAAGAAAATCAACTTGCGAGCTGCCGTTTGACTGTTTTGGGATTATATCAAGTTTTGGCCGCTCATCTTGCTGTGTTGGCGCTTTCACTCTGGGCTTTACTTCTGATTTGCAGGGAATTATGAGATGTTTAAAGGAAAAGTGTCATCTTTTAGTTTTGGGTAGAGGGGGATGGAAGAGAAACTCTGAGATTTTTTTTATTGCTGTGACCCCATTATAGATTCTGTTACACTTTTCCCATCTGACCATAGAAAATATGCAGATAATCTATAGGTGTATGGTTAGCTTTACTCATCCTGGAAGTGGAAAAGCAGTAATTGTAACTAAAAGTAATACATGTTTAACTAATGAATGTAAAATGATTTCCTATCAGATTGTAGAGCTGCATGGTGATGTGATTTTTAGTGAAGGGGGTAAAGTCCACTTTAGGGCTGCAGCTAACGATTATTTTCATAATCGATTAGTTAGCCGATTATTAAGTTCGATTAATCGGATAAAAAAAAAAAAAGGCTCCAGTGATGGACTACTAGTTTCTATTGAGATTGTAGTCCATCACGGGAGCAAGCTTGGCGCAGTGGAAGTAAAAAAAGAGTGTAGTGTGCAATATAGTACATTATACAGCGGCGCAGTACAGAATACCAGCAGCTATAGAGGAATGTAGCAATAGTACATTATACTATAATGTACTATTGCTGGGATTTGTAGTCCTCTATAGCTGCTGGTATTCTGCAGTGCGCTGTATAATGATTATACTGCGCAATGCAGATTACCACTGACCAGTTATAGAGGAACAACAAATCCCAGCAATAATACATTATACAGTAGTGTCATCTTTTAGTTTTGGGTAGAGGGGGATGGAAGAGAAACTCTGAGATTTTTTTTATTGCTGTGACCCCATTATAGAGAGTCAATCCAGTAATGGTACTTCCCAGACCCCACCCTAGGCGACCTGAGTCCACACCTCCTAATTAATGAGTTTAGCAATTGTAGAGAGATCTCACTTCCCATGTGGTCAACTCAGCAGTAATAATTGATAAGCACTCTATCCCAAAAAGTTTTATTTGATCACTTCCTCGACCCAGAAGAATTTTACTTATTTTGATGCTTCTAAACTGAGCAGCTGGCAAATATATTATTAAACAGCAAACACCCTCTATATCAGGGGTCTCAAACTCAATTTAGTCGGGGGCCACTGGACAAATTTTTTAGTCACCAATTCAAATTAATGATCGGGTGAGAGCTGCTGCATGTAAACGCTTGCACACCGCATGTAATCATGTGAAAGGATTACATGCAGTTAGGAATCAATCACTATCCCTGGATACACAATTTTTATCCAGGGATAGTGATTGTTTTTGTAAATGCATGTAATCATATCGCATACGATTACATGCGGTATGCAGGCATGTACATGCAGCGGCTCTCTCCCGATCATTAACTTGAATGGGTGACAGTTGCTGCATGTAAACGCCAGATTAGGGATTCCTGCTGCAGGAAAACGCACGTTTTTGACACAGGAATCCCTAATCGCACCTGAAATATAGGAGACCCCCTCCCCATTCCAATCCCCCCCGCACACATAATACACCCCCCCCACACACACACACACATAATAATACACTCCCCCCCACACACACACATAATACACTTCCCCCCCCTTCCAAGTCCCCTGCACACATTTAATACACTGCCCCCCAGCACATATACCGTGTTTCCCCGAAAATAAGACCTAGCGCTATCTTCAGAGATTTCTCGAAAATAAGACCTAGTTCAGCTTTTGCCTCGGCTTTTACGGTACATGGAAAGCTGCCGCTGAAAACTACATTTCCCAGCAGGCAGCTCAATAGCTGCAGCCTTCAGGTGACACTGTGTGACAGTATTTTTTCACTCCCCTTCTCCATCTTCTTCTGTACTGTATGATACAGTACATTCCATATCTCTGCTCTGACACCTGTGTGCCTCAGCCTCCACAGCATCTTTTATCTCTTATTTAAATTATGGTAGAAAAAAAAGTATGTGGAGGGGATGCTCAATGGGGAAAAAAAAAAAAAATAAGACCTAGTGTGTTTTTTGGGGGGGGAAAATATAAGACAGTGTCTTATTTTCGGGGAAACACGGTAATAATAAACTTCCCCCCTCCCTCCCAAGCCCACTGCACACATATTCAACCCCTTCCCAAGCCTCATGCACACATATTCAACCCCTTCCCAAGCCTCATGCACACATATTAAACTCCCCCCTGCACACATAATAAACTTCCCTCCCTCCTAGCACACATAATAAACTTTCCCTCCCTCCCAGCACACATAATAAACTTTCCCTCCAAGCCCCCTCACCTGCTTGCATCTGTGCAGGGAGGAGGCACAACATCGTTCCCTGGCTATCTAGTGGTGATTAGTAAGGTCTAGTGCAGACCTTACTAATGATCCATCATTCGGCCAGAGCTCTGAACTGACAGAGCTCCGGCCGTAGTTAACCGGAGCAGCTCTGCGGTCTGCATCCGACAGAGATGTAGACCGTTTAGCTGCTCCCGCAAGTCAGGCACCCGCTCCATGACCGTGTGCCCGATTTGTCAGCTGGCTGCGGGCCACATAGTACAGGCTCACGGGCCGGTACTTTGAGACCCCTGCTCTATATCTTCAAATGTCAACTTATAGAGAGTTTTACATTTTCAATGTTTTTGAGTGTCTGCTTGGAGCCGGCCAACCCCCAGTCATCAGGATAATGTCAGGATACCTTGCAATACCCATATTTCAAGCTCACCTGGGATATAACTAATAGAAAAAGAGGACATGTCAACGTCAGCCAGATATTAGCTTTTGCTTTGTAACAAACAAGGTAAGAGAATAGTAATGGATTCATGAATGTCTTGTCAAATCGTGCTGGAAGAATCTATGATTTTTCCATGACTGAAGAGTGCATCTTGCATTGTACAGTTGCTTAAAGAGTAATTCTATCTTTCTGACTGTTTCATGTTAGACCAATATTCAGGTGGTCACATCCCCAACCCCCTACCTCCCAAATGGGATATGTAGAGCTGGCTCTCTTGCGGTTTGTATATATCAGTCCTTAGATGTGTAGGCCATATTTGTTTTCTAGAGTTTTTTTCCCCTGTATTTTACAGAACGTGATCCACGTTCTGTCCTAGGGCAGGGGTAGACAAATTATCATGGATTTTTGGAGCCTGCAGGAAAATCTTTTAGGAGCCATTTGCCACCTGGCTCCTAGGATTTGTCCAGCCCTATCCTAGGGTGACAATGCTCACTTACTTTACTGTATCTATGAAAGAGCATCATTGGTACCCAAGAAAATTCTCCTGTTCGGGCTACAAGCACCGATTACTCTGCTTATCTTCATTACAGGAAGGAAGGGCTTTGTAGTTCACAGAAGATAGCTAGGAAGTTTCATAGACTTAAGATTTCTGGCAGGATCAACATGTATTGTTCTGTATGTACAGAAATGTACTTGGATTTGGTGGCTGCATTAGTCTTCACTGGTAAGCTACAAGATATTACAAGATACATTACATGTTCTTGAGTTTAGATATACAGTGTTCCAAATAAACGTCTCAATGTATGAATAAGGTAGGTCAAATATTTGTATAACTATTGTCAAGCTGCATGCTGAAGCTGCTAAATTTGGTCTGCATCTTGGCTCCAATGACCTCTGGTCATGAAAGGGGGGGGGGGTGGGGGTGCTGAAGTGACTGGACTCCAGGGCTAGAGGGCTATATGCAGAGCTGAGCTTGCATATCAAAAGTACAAAATAAAAGCGAGTTAGTTCCTATTGGGGTATTTCAGACGCCAATCAATGAGACATATTTGGCCTTGCAGAGCCTGCAAACAGAAGATTAGAGTCCCAGCCTTTCATAGTGTCCAAGGCGTCAATGCGCCATTTTTCTCCTACCTGACTATGCATTATGCAGTAGAGAGAATGCCATGGAATTATTGCTCAAAAATCATTTGACCCGATACAGTATGGGCCTCACCTAGAAAGCATCTGCTTCACTGATCTGCAACTGTTTTCTTTTTCTCCTCCGCAGGTACAGAAAAACATGCCAGCAAACATGCCACAGTACAGTGGTTTTTACGCTATGAAGAGGTGCCCTTTAAGAAGAGGAAATTATTAGGCAGGGAGCCCCATCCTCAGGAGATCTTCTTATACGAGTCCAATATGTGTGACAATGACATTGATGCAGAGACTATAATTGGAACTGTTTCAGTAAGTACAGCGAGTGGGAAAAGGAAGCCTTAAAGAGCATCTATGGTCAAACTAAAAATAAATTATTTTTACCCCATTTCTAATAACTGTACCAGTCTAGATGTTTGTAAAATGACTTATTGAGTATGCCCATAGGATGTACTTCCTTGCCATATGTAGTCTTGAGAAATTGATATTGCATAACATCAAGCAACAGGTTAAGTGATGCAAACCACACTGGGAATCCAGGAAATTGTTTAAAGTGATAGGAAGACGGAAGGCCGCACTCACTACACACATACTACAGGAATTGTTTTCTCAAGTGAGCTTTGTTTGAGTTATCAAAAACATTTATAGTATGTATTCTTATTTGGAATCCTTTTAACTTTGGGCACTGAGATGTTCCATTATTAGAGGTGTAGGTAATGTTTACCTCCATCATTTTCTAACTTATTGTCCAGTTGGCACACACTTATCCTGGCAGATAGTACAGCATGCGCTGTACTTTTTGCCCAGGCTGGATATGATTGCTGTAGTTCTAATGTTCAGCATTGGTGTTGTGCCTTGACCCCCTCATCCCCTGGCAATTCACTAGACACACTGCAAAGACATGCTGGAAGGTTAATTGGCTCCTGTCTACATCAGCCCTGTATGCATGCGTGATAGGAACCTGTCAGAGCACAATGAAAACCAGACAAGCAAAAGGTGCTAGTTAAAACATTTATTAAGAACAGTGTCCACAAGATCAAGCAGAATCATAAACCAGGACAAGCCAAGGTCAGGAGCCACAGTGGGTAGTCGTTCAAGCCAGGTCAGGAACATGGAGATCAGTGTTGTCCGAAACAAGCCAGGAGTAGGAGCCAGGAAATCAGCGCTGTCGGGAACAAGCCAGGAGCAGGAGCCAGAGGAGAACGTCAGCCAGGATCGGGTCATACACCTAATTAGGATACTCAGAGCAGCAGGAATGCACTAGCAGGAAGACCACGCAAGGTCAGACTGGACTGAGTGGTTTATATAGTAGTGCGGTGACATTATCACTCAGAGACGGGAAACTCCAATCTGACTCTCTCAGATGATGCTCTCCTATCTGGCCATAAGAGGGAGCCTGGGAGTAGTGAGCAATGTTCCAGAGTCTGCTCAGGCAAAGAAGGAAACAGGTGAGTAAAATGGCAGCCATGCCAGAATGCTGCAAACCAGAGAAGTCAGGGTGGAACCCTGACAGGACCTTAGATTGTTAGCTTCTCGAGGGTAGAAGACTGATGTGAAGAACAAGATGTAAAGTGCTGCATAACTTGTCAGCACTATATAAATACATGTAATATATTTAGCTTAGTGTTACATCTTGGTGCCACTTCTATTTTTATGTTGTCGCTGTGGTGATCTAGGTATGGTATCCCTTTCTAGATTTCCCAGTTGAAGCCAGATGAGCCTTTTCCTGAATCAAAGAAATCTGAACACATCTTGTTCCTGAAGCTGTTATGGGATGGAAAATCTTTCAAACCTCTAACTTCCAGCATTAATGGAGCAAAGGAACGGATTGCTGTAAGCAATAGATCTTTACCTAATAAATCTCTGCCGATGCCTAACTTTTACCCCATGGAAGGAGATACAGCGGAAAGCAAACAAACCACACGCAGCACCACCAAGTCACAGAAAAAAGAAAATGAGATAGAATCCCGCCATTCAGCTTCTAAGTGCTCCCATTCCAAGGAGAAAGGGGCACAAAGACTACCCAACGGAATGGGCACCCCTGGAGCCAGGAAGAAGCTGGAGCTGAACAGTAAGTCCTACCTTTTACTAAAGTCGTACTAATCAAATTCGTTGTTACGTTCTGTTTTTACGTTACTTCTGAAAGCTGAAGAGGGAGGTTATGTTAAAAAAAATACTAGGCCAAGAGGAGTAGCTTTTGCTAAGCAGTGCGGATGTGGAGATATTTCACCAGTTGTCAGCTCTCCTCACCATAATTCCTAGCTTTTTTTCCTGTCTATTTGGGGGTTTGGATTCTCCATGACCACATTTGCTGTGTTGCAGCACCTACTGCTGCATTCTCTAAAATATAGCATAATTCCAGCAAGCAGGATGGGAATCACTCACAATGGTACTGGCAGCTGCACAGACACAGGAAATGAGTGCATGAATCTCCCCATTACCGCCCCGAGAGATTTAAGATACTGTCAGGAGGCTTAACTGTCCTGCAACAACCACTAAAATATCGGTTTGGGGTAAATTATAGCCTTTTAAAAAAAATACTATTGCATAGATTACTGAAATGATCCTTATTTTAGGGCCTGATTTTAGACATTTGTATGGATTTCTTACTAAACAAATAATGTTTTAGGTCCACATAAATCTCTGAAGCCTATACAGAAAGATGCCTTCCTAGAGGATGAATTTAAACCTCTGGAACCAGCTGCTCCTAAACGCAAGGTGGCATTCACTGGACTCCTTGACTCCCCTCCCAAGAAGCCTTTTGAAGAACAGGACTTCTCTTCATGTTTCATCCCTCTAAAGCCTCTTAAAGACTTACCCAAACTCAGCCTGAGACTGACCCCTCTAAGACGTACTGTATCAGAAGAGCAGAAATCTGAGAAAACCCCGTAAGTGGACCCATAATATGTAGCTTATCGGTCTTTATTTTAGTTTTTCATGTTTAACTCCTTAAATTGTCATTGCCTGTCTGTAACCCCCTTATCGTGTTCCTAGCATTGACCTAAACAGTGGAAGAAAACGCATTGACAAGGCTGAAAAGTCGGCGGCATCCAAGTCTAAAACACCTCAAAAAATGAATCCTACACCAAAGAAAAGCACAAGCAGTTCCAGGAGGTACTGGCATGTAATGTTTAAAGGTGGCTCAATTGACCAACTATTACTGTTAACCCCAAAAATTATGCACTAACTATAACTTTTTTTTTTGCATATAAAATTTATATTGAAAGAAAAAAAAAAACAGGCTATACAGAAAGAGACATTGCAATACTCACTACTACTGTGTACCGGGTACCTACATACTACTTAGTGACAGGGACGCAGAACGAATTAAGAAAAAAGCACAGGTGGAAAGTGCAATTCAACAGGTACAACTCCCAACAGCAAGGGCTCCAATACAACTGTCCAGGATAAAATCTGAGGCGAATTGTAAGAAGCAGCCAAAGGTGGGAGGTGTGCCAAGAAAGAGCGGGCGATGGTCTGATCCACAAAGTATTTAAACATTTCTGTAGGAGGCACCAGCTATAATTTTTTTTAAAGCCATTGGCTACCTGACTTTTGGGGTTTGTCCAGACCTAAGTTTGTACATAGCTCTTTATAATCACAGACTATTTAACAAGAGATACCTGATATCGTGTTTTAAGGCCTAATTGACACTTGCTAGATGCAGAAACTCTGGGCTGCATTTGATGCCTCTAAGCTCTCGGGTAGGGGATAGCAAAGTAAATGGCTTGAGTTGCAGCATAACATGCAGCCTGGATATTTAATATAGTGTTCCTGTTGACTTGCTACAAAACCAGTGATTCTCTAATTGCCTCTGTGTATCCTACTGTGAAGTTCAATACCCCCTTAAGGGCTGGCATTAGAGGGTCCTCTGGCAACATATGAACCTTTTGGAAGCCTACTTGATTACAGGTTTAGTTTGCAACATCTAAACTAAGAGACATGGATACTGCACATGTTTTCTTATCCTTTTTAAATCTTGCCTATGTTTTTCCCCATAGTTCTCCTTAGGGTAACGGGAGGACACAAACTAGCGTCCTCCCGTTACCCTAAGCTCAGTATACTGCGAGCTACAGCTGTTTGGCAGAGGGCCGTGACAGGATCGAGAGGTGAGCGAACGCCGGTATCTGTTCGCTCACCTCCCGATCTACTGAGCCGACCTGTGACAGTCTCATTGTCACAGGTCGGCTAGAACTATGAGGTGAGTGGAAATCACTCATCTCATAGTTCTCCTTTTAAACATATATTTTCAGATTTTAACAAGAATGTGCATCCTCCCTTTTACTAATGTTGTAGACCAGGCGTAGGCAAACTCCGGCCCTCCAGCTATGGTGCAACTACAAATCTCACAGACTTCACTCATAGAGGCAGATGCATGGTGGTATATGTAGTACCACCGCACCTAGAGGGTCTGAATTTGCCTACACAAGATGTAGAACTTGGAATGTAGGCACACCTGTTAACACAACTGGAGAAAAAAAAATGGGTTACTTTGACAAATAAAATGCAAATGTCACCTTCCAACTTGGTGTCTGAAATGTCTTTTTTTTCCCCCCTCTTAGGCCATCACAGGAACAGAATGGTGAGGAGCCACAGACACCCCGGTCCCGAAGGAAATCTGCGACGGCTTCTGTTAACCGAATGCGCAAACAGATAAAGTAATTTGTGCATTCATCAATGTGGAATCAGATTCACTGTGTTGTGCTTAGCCAGAATGTATTAGTGTTTATTCTATTTCAAGCATAAATAGGTTCTTTTGGCCTGAATATCTAGCCTTTCATTTTTTTAAGGCCGTTTGTTGGGCCGCCTTCTCCCACACTATATATTCCTGAAAGACAGCAGCTCGGAGAGATATCATAGCTGGTGGGTTATTCAACCTGGAGTTGAAGTATAGGACTTGGGTGAAATATCTTTATTTGGTTATTAGTATAACTGTGTGAGCTTCTCAGTGGTAACACATACTGGTTTTTGAGGGACACAGTAGACGTGCAGAGGATTTGTCCTGCCTACTGAGCATGGACAGAGATTGAAAAGCTTTTCTGGCCTGTGTACCGCTCTACCAGTCACTAACTCTCTTCCCATCACATTTAGAGAAGCCAGATGCTGTTTTGGTAAGACAGTTTTCCTTCTCAGCTCATGGGGGCATTTAGAGGGAAAAGTTTAGGTCCAGGGTATTACCAACAAGCATACTTATTAGTGTGTCTGTGCTTTTTTTCCAGACTTCTATCAGAGAGTGACCTCAGTGAAATGGATGAAAGTGAAGATGATTTTGTTCCTTTAAAAGATTCAGCCATGATTAGTAGCAGTGAGGATGAAAATAATGATGGAGAACAAGAAAGTGAAGAAGAAAAGCCATCCAAAAGAAATACTAGAAAAGGAGTAGCTCCCCAGACACCGTCGTCCTCCCGGAAGACCTCCGCAAGAACCCCAAATAAAACTGTAAGTTCCAAATATTCTGTGAGTTAAAGGGTTAGTCCACCCAAATGTGTCAGGTGGAGCTTGGTGGGCCAAGTTACATGCTATGTGTTTATAAAATTAGTAAAAATTCCCGAAGTACCAGCAAACTGGAACATAAATGGCCTGGATGGGAAGGGGGTTTAACACCGCGGATGTCAACTGGTTAATAACCATGTTACTTAGGTTGAATAAAGACACAAGTCCATGGAGTCCAACCCTTAGAGAGGAGCAAATTAATGTAAAGGAAAACCTCCAATATTGACCATATATGTTATAATCTTCTTGTATAGTAATGTGTTCAGTATATTTGCTTACAGCAAGGGTAAATTTTCTCTTTTTAATTAGTGCCATTCAACGTTGTTATACAAGAGTAAAAAGGGAAAAAAAACATAAGGGCCCATTCACATCTATACATTGCAAAAACATGCGCATTGCAAAAAAACATGTGGTGTTAGTTTGTTGCAGCGCCTTTTATTTTCAGTTGCACTGCAGTGCATTGAAGGAACACACGGTAATACACTACTGTACATTGTGTTAAGCTGCATTACAAAAAATGGTGCCAGTCTGATTTGCGGTCAAATGAGCAAGCTGCCTTAAATCACCACTAAACTCCGCTGCAGGAGCACTGCATGTATGCACATTATTATTATTATTATTACATAGTATTTATATAGCGCCAACAGTTTGCGCAGCGCGTTACAATACAATTCAAGACAAGATGGTAAGGAGGGCCCTGCCCCTGAGGGCTTACAATCTAAAAGAGGAGGGGGAAATGATACATGAGGTACATTATGGCAGGCGTACCTGCCATAGAGCCCCCTCATGCTTTGTGATGGGAACAATCTCTGTCACTGCTGCTGACAACTTTGCCGGTTGTCTTGGTTGAACGGGTTGTCATATTGATTGCTGGATCAGCATGACATAACTTTGCATGCACATGAAAGTAAATTGTTCCTGGCAGCAAAGGCATTCGGAGATAAAAACTGCTTTGAATGCTTAACTCGGTGTTTATTCATTAGAAGCATTGCTGGAAGGCAGGAGAGCAGCCTATATGACAGTACAGACATACTTATACTTGGGTAGAATTTTGAACAAGCATTCGTATGAAAATCCAGTTGGAACGTTCGATAATGCCATCAGAGACTTGGCACTTGTCATTCAAAATTTTATTTGATTTTCATTTAACATTCAATTTTTGAATGGATGGATTTTCCCGAAAACAAATTTTCAAACATGCTCCTTCCAATGCTTTTTGCCACTGTGGTTGAAATCCAACATTGATTTGACCCCCATCAACAATTAGAAAGTCAAAACGAACGTTCCAAAATCGATTTTGTTCGTTCAGAATTCTAAGCATGACTACCTTTTAGTCTCTTCTGCAATCGAAGTGTACCCACCAGCAATGTTTTGAAAGACATTTGTTCCATTACTGCACCACAAGTGATTGTAACAACAAAAGGAAATGGATACTTTATTTCATATTCTTATCATGTCTCGCTGCATACAGTTTTCTTAAGAAAATCGTATTTTTTGTTTGTTTTTGTTTTCCCTCAGTCTTTTGGAAAGCTTATTACCTGGAGATCTTGACAGTAAGGCCTGGTTCACACCTGTACGTTTTGTAGCGCGTTCAACGCTCTACAAAACGCTCAAACATGAAAATACCATTGTTTTCTATGGGTATGGTTCACACCTTGCCGTATTTCAGGCCGTCTGAACACGCAACAAAACGGCCTACGCCTGAAAAGGTACATGAGCTTCTTTGCTGCGTTTTTGTCGAGCGTTTCCATTGGGATACAGCATATTTGCTCTCGGAAACACGCGTTTGTTGCGTGTTTTTTTACCACGAATCGCGGTAAAAACGTGCGTCACGAAACGCGCGACAAGCGCGCATATTCGATATGCCCAGGTGTGAACAGAGCCTAACAGCGTATTCGGTTGCAGATGGACAGTGCTAGTCTTCCGCCTCAATCAGCAGCATTGTTTGCCTTTTGTGTGAGCTCCTCCAGTTGGCCATTTAGGTTGCTTATCAGGTCTGTCAGACAACGTCCAACTGAAGGAATGCACATGGCAGACTAACAACACTGCTGCTAATTGTGAGACTGGTTTATCGTCTGCCTACAACAGAAAGTACTGTTACTGCCAGGAACTTAAGTTGGGAAATATTGCAACAGAGTGGCAAACAGAAAACTGATTCGTGATGGCAAACGCACTGAAAAATCGATTTTGGGTTTACATACACTTTAATGCAAGTGTGCTTATTTTTTTTCACAGCATATCGCCTAGGCCTTAAGGCTGGGTTCACACCTAGGCGTATTGAATATGCCCGTCTGTCGCGCGTTTTTTTTACCGCGATGCGCGGTGAAAAAACCGTGCGACAAACGCGCGTTCCCGAGGGTTACTTGGCTGTATCCCAGTGGAAACGCCCAACAAAAACGGCCCAAAGAAGTACATGTACTTGTTTGAGCGTAGGCCGTTTTGTAGGGCGTTTCAGACGGGCGGAAATACGGAAAGGTGTGAACCATACCCATAGAAAACAATGGGATTTTCATGTTTGTACGTTTTGTAGAGCGTTCATAGAGCCTTGAACGCGCAACAAAACGTAAAGGTGTGAACAGGCCTTAAGCAGACCTGCCTATTTTGTGGAAGACAAGTGTAGATAAAAAACAAATTAGATAATTCTTCCATGAAGGACTTCTTTAACTGGAAACCCTCTTGATTAGTTTAAAAGAAACTAATTAAAAGAAACTATTGACCTAATTCTGCAAATGCCAGCTGCTTAGCAGCCAAGCTGATCCTCTGATTAGCTTGACTGATTTAGTCATCGAACCAGAAGTGAAATCATAACCAAGGTCAGGTTTCCTGATCTACATACTGACTCTAAGTCAATGATTCAGAAAGCATGGATGATGTTTGATTGTTTTGATCAGTATGACAGCCAGGCAACTAGTTTTTATAGGAGAGGCCAATGATGGCAGCCTACATATTTCTCTAAATACAGGTTTTCATTAATTTGCAGTTTTGAGTTTAACCTGCCTTGTTTGTATTAAACATGTCCTGTATTGTTGTGTGTAATCCTAACAGCCACGCTCCAAAAACCATACTGCAACTCCCAAAATTCCAGAACGCAACCAGCCAATTCAAAAGCCGGCCAATGTTTTGGAGGAGGCCCGCATCAGGTGAGATGACCTGGTACTTTGGATGCCTTCTGGCGAGTTAATATGTAGAATTATTTCTAAACAAGTTTGTAGGGGTTTTTTTCCAGAAAGTAGAACTCCATCGAAGGGAATATGCTGCCATAGTCCTGTAGAACTGTAATGGTTTTGGGTCGGTTTAAATTTTTTTAGTATGTTTTATTGAAAAAGGCACATGGTGTATAGAGAGGGGAGCTGTATAGAGAGGGGGAGCTACAAACCTCATGCTCTCCACATACCATATATGCATATTACATACTTGGACGCTTTCTTGGTAGCGACTTTATTCAGTGGTTGTGCTTTGCTGCTGCTTCTCACAATGCAAGTAGTTAGGGTACTCATTGAAAATAATGAATTTGGCTGCTATCCTAATTCAACAGCAATTAAGTAGAGATCTAAAGTACCTGTAGTGGCTTATCTACCTCTTCTTCTTCAGTGACCTATCTACTAATCACTACATTTAATGGACCAGCAAGAAAGTAGTTTACTTTAAACTAGGGGTGGGCACATTTATATGAAGTTCAGGAGCCAGCTCCATTGACGACAACAACTAGAAAAAAACCTCAAAAGTTAGGCACCAGCATAAGGAGCCCATTGGCTAACTGGCTCCTGGGATCTGTCCAGCCCTGCTTTTAAAGTAGATGCCAATCCTTTCATTGAAATCTCATAAGCTTTAACGTGGTAATGTGTTTTCAACGTTTGAAATCTTCCACTTCGTCCTAACTTTTTATAGTGTCATTTAATAATCAATAGTATTACAGTTCTGGCACTTTAACATTGTCTAAAAGCATTATGGTCTAAGGTGTAATCCATTTTTCACGTATGGCGTTGTGCTAATTTTTTTTGGGGGGTGGTAAAATGAACACTTTAACTCTATTCCACTTCTGTATGCAGGCTTCATGTCTCTGCCGTACCTGAATCTCTACCCTGCAGGGAGCAGGAATACCAGGATGTGTATAGTTTTGTTGAAAGTAAACTGCTGGATGGGACCGGTGGGTAAGTAAACTTTAGATGTGGTAGGGCATTGCTTTTATCAATGGGTTAAGAGGTGTTTGAGTTTTAACTAATCTATATGTGGATTTAAGTGAACCATTTAAACTTTTAGCATGTAATTATAGTAGTGCCTTCATAATCTGCTTTTCCCAAAACGTGCAGCATAAGTAGACTAAACAGCGCTGTTACTTTGTTCAAATTTCAGTTTGGTCAAAACCTGATAGCTAACCTCTCATCCCCATCACTAACCTTTCCCTTGGCTGCTGATTAATGCTTGTCTATGGTGTTAGACGCTAAAAAAAAAAAAAAAATCTTGTGACCACCCTTCTGCTACATTGTTTTACCTGTCAGCACATCTTAGAATAAACCAAGGAAAACATGGTAAATAGTAAAGCATCATACATGTAGCTGCTGGATGCAGCATCTTGTGTTCAAATCCCAATGACAACTCATACAAGACCTTGCATTGGACACTCTTGGGAGGGTGGTCTATACCAGGCCTTCTTAAACTTGTGACCCCCTTTTTGGCCGAGGAAATTTTGAAGGGACCCCAACGTCGGTCTGTGTCTCCCCCCTCCCCTAGCGTAAGTTGGTGTCTCTCCCCCA